GGATGGAAACAGTGCTGTGGCCTGCACGACAAGTGAAGACAGGCCATCTGAGTATCTAAGTAAGTACAGGGTTAAAGATACATAGAGAAAGGGAAAAGGAAAGAGGAGGAGCGGGCTCGGCTGCACGGAGGGGATGGGGAACTGGGATTCCATAGTGTAATGGTTCACAGGGTAACTTGAGGCTACATCCACCTACATGATTGAGGATATCTTATATCGAAAAAGAGATAATTCTGAATATAAAGAGGGATGCCAGATAGCTGGCACAGCATGACTGACTGACTATTCAAGTTAGCGAATTTATGGAGTGAAATGACTTTCACTCCATAAATTCGCTAACTTGAATAATGGTGGGTTCTCGTTCTTATCCACTTCAGCCCTTTTCCCCGAATGCATTTCGCAGCGTTAACATGAGCATTCGCTTCTAAAATGTTCTTTACTTAACTTCTCTACAATCAAAGCATACTGCTCTTAGCTGATCAATTTTTGGGGCACGAAAGCCAATTGCGAATTCCCGCACTGCGATTAGTGATCAGGGACTTTGAAACACTCAGCCGTTTTGGACTCAGCCCTAGCAATGAAGCAAAGAATACATGCATTATATTTGGCGTAAGATGGGACCTCGGTGCATCTGCACAACTCATATATTAGTTGTCGTCATATCACTAATTACTCTAAGCTATAAGTAGTTTGCTTTCCCGTTTTTATGGGTCATTTTCATTTAGGTAGTACTTAGATAGGAGTGATCAAATGATTCTCCTGATGTCCATTTTTCACTCTGTCTAAAGGTCGTCGCTCTTTTGTCTTTAGGTATATAATTTATCTTTCTTTTAGAATGGTGAAGAAGATTTCGGACCTCAATAAAAAATTGAAAGTGAAGCGAAAGAAAAATTCAAACAAGCCAGTAAAATCAGAACTAGATGAGAAGGAGTCGTCGTCAACGGACCCTGATGAGTTGAAATGTGCGCTGTTTTCTTTTTTATGTGTTTTTTCCCTTCAACTCCATATATCGAACCTCTTTCTAGTCCTACGGTACTCCATTAGCGATCGTTACTCTGCTCAGAGGCAGCTATTTCTCAAAGTGGATAAGTCCAATGAGTATTCATTAATTGTGGGCAACGTCCCAGCATATTTGCCGAAGGTATTTAGGTGAAAACAACATTTCAATAATAGCTTTAGCGATGTGAGACCCATTTATAGGGTGCTGTTGAAGGCTTCATCAAGCAGTTTGTTCCAGTACCAATCAGTGAAGTTGTTGTCCAAAGAAGTAATGCTGTGGACGGATCTCTCAATCATGTTAGTTTATTATGCTTTTGTCCTATATTGTAACACGTACAAGGGCTTCTGTTGCTCTAGGGCCAGTTGACAGTCTCAGTGAGATTTGAGGATCCCGAAGGCGTCAGTATAGCGCTCTCAAAATGTCAGGATGTCGGGCCTTATAGAGTTTGTGACTTTGTTGATCCGGAAATCCCCTCAGTTCTGCAAAGTTAGCTTTCTAATCCTTCTTCTTACTTTTATACTATTCGTTCGCAATTTTAGATTCTGTGGCACTGTATCGTAGTTTATTCCCATCTCCTGAGGACATCCAGAAATCTGCTTCAGCTTTTATTGAAAAGCAGGATGAAGAAGCTCAGGAGGTGCTTTATATCTTTGACTCATTATTGATATAATGGTTTATTCTTAGGCCAAACGAGCAGCTAAGCGGAAATTTACTGAACCTGATGAGGAAGGATGGATAACAGTTACAAAAGCTGCCAAGAGGGTAGGCCCTTTATCTCTCCCTATTGCTGTGTATGAATGGGTATTGCTGAGCTTAATGAAGTGATATTGTTACTATTCAGGTCGGCAAG